TTCTGAGTCCCTTGCTGAAGTTTGTAGGCTTGGTGGTCTGTGAGACTAAGTGGCAGACATCCTGAACTGTGGGGTCAATAGGTATGGCTGTTATTCTCTCCATGCAGCGACAGAGCCTTGTCTAGTCTGTTAGTCTTGTTAGAAGAAATCCCTCCATTCTTAGATGCTGAAGAGTTGCTTGTTGCTGTATACAACAAATGATGGGTAATGAAGTATCTGAACCTCAGTGGAACTCTCTAGAAGGTAGTATTTGAGTTCTCATCTTAGCAAAGAATCAAATGTAAAAAGTCAGGCTGAGCTATGTAAGAAAGAGACTAGGTGAACTAGCATGATTTAAGGGGAATAAAAACTTGTTTTCATTCTATTTTTTAGTTTGGGGTGCAACAGGTACTTATATTTTCTTACATTTGAAATACATGTGTGGCTTGGAGTCACTTCCTGGAAAGGAACAGTGAAGGTTGTCACGATGAATTGGGACTACAGAATATACTAATTTGCTTGTCATTGAAGCTAAGATGGTTTTGGGGTGAAGTATGCTAGAAAGATAAAGAAATTGGACTGTTTCTATAGGAAGAGGAGTTATTATGAGATTTTTGTAACTTTATTATGCTTTGTGATGATCAGGAGATGAGAATTTAGCAAGAAGTGATCCCATAAATCTCATGTCATTTGGACTTACTGTGTTGGAGTCAAAGGCACTTTAAGTAGATTCAGACATGTTTCATTGGTTCTAGGCTTGTTGGTGTTGTGTTTACTTTTAAGAACCAGTCACTACTCATCTCTTTACACCACACCTTCAGTCATTTTTATTTGATTATTCTCACTGAACTTCAGAGTTTAGTGGTTTTCACATTTCCTGACAACCAAAAGCTAACCAGTACCTTTAAACTCAGTACTTTATAGGTTGTTTGATGATCTATCTGGATCCTATACTTATGAGGGTGTGTGTATAATTTACTTTGAATGAATTAGTCAGTTTTTTTCTTTTGTAAACTGAAAATGTTTTGCAGGTTTAAAGTACTGTTTAGGTATGATCGCTGATATAGTCGTTATACCTTTTTCTGCCTGTCAGAATAACAGGCCCAGGGTTTATTTTTTCTTCCCAAGAAACTCTCCAGGGCTTTTATCCCCCCCTCTCTGACCCCCTTTTCTTCAGTAACCTGTGCCTTTTTTCCTCCCCTTTCTTGTGTTTGGAAGTTGAAGAGGCTCAAGTTGGTATCCCAGCTCTGCCGCACTGGCCACGAGACCTTGCTGTGTCCCATTCTTATCTTTGCCATGAGGATAAAATTACACAGCAAGGGTCAGTTCCCTTTGCTAGCCTTCTTTTTATGCTCCCTGTGGTGTCTTGAATGTGACGTTTCAGCCTAGAAATCCCTTTTCCAGTCTCCCAGCTGGTTAGCTAAATCTTTCTAGTCATGGTTTGGTTTGGTTTTGCTATTTAATTGCAGAACTAGGGGTTGGACCCAGAGTCTCAGGCATGCTAAGCAAACTCCTCCCACTGAGCTACATCCCCAGCGCTTTGTATTTTTTTTTTATTTTGAGATAGAGTCTTGCTAAGCTGCCAAAGCTCTCTTTGTTTCTATTTTTGTTAAAATGGTGATTTTGACGAGTCCCATTAATTCTTTATGGGGCCTGATTCCTGTGGGGCACCACAGCACCTCTCCGAGGAGGCAACACTGGAAACCTAACCCTTATTCAGGATCTTTATGGAAGGGTGGATGTGTTTGCTAGAAACAGCTGGGGGGTGGCCCAGACCTGCAGCTCATCAAGTGCCTCCCTGACCATCTAATGTAATGCATAAGAACTAAAAGAAAGCTTATTTCCAGAAAACGGGGGAAAGAGAGCCAGAAAAGGGCAGTGGCCAAAGTTGATGTCACTGAGATTCTGCTGGCTCCCTGCTCTCCCTGCCCTGGCCTCTTCTTAGCAGGCTGTGCTGCCCTTTAGTTCTCCACTTGACAGCGACAGATACAGGTGTAGGCTGCGCTTGGGACACTGAACTGTCATTTTGGAAGAAAGTGTAACTGTGCCATGGGCTTCAGGCCATGTACCTGGAGGTCTCTGGGGTTTGGGTACTTATATAGTGGACGAGGTGACTACATCCATGGGACTCAGTGAACACATGTTTCCTCTACGTGATCCTTCATTTCACCAGACCCATGAATGTAAAGCTCAGAGCTGTCTGCAGCCAGCTAGGAAAGAGGAGTGTTCTTTGTCATTACAGCTATAAACCTAAAGTTCGCATCTTATCCTATGTGCTTTTTGAAAAGCCACACATGTCTCACTAAAGCCATTCTTTGGAAACTAATGTGCCAGTTCAGCCATGACAGTTTTTTGTGGAACATGATACTTAGCTGGAGGGTGTCACAGGGCTCTGTTTCCTCAACTACCCGATGGAAGGGACAACTGGCAGCAGTGCTTGGAGATTAATTTAGACATTATTTTTGGTAGTACTTTGGAACTTTTGAAGCACAGGACAGCTGTTTGTGTGTACTTTGTTTGGTACAGGGTAGTATGTGAAGCTGAGAGAGAAGGGGGGTGTCATGCCTGTGAAGTCTGCAGTTGTTACCTAGGGAGGTAACACACGTGTGCGCTCATGTGTACATGACACAGTGAAAGGTGTTTTTCTGCCCATCTCTGGTGACTTAAAGTGGTGAAAAGGACGTGGTAGGAAGGCTGGTGTCTGAGCTGGGATTCGAAAGGTTGCCTGTTGAGGTAGCCAGTGTGGATGTAATTTAAGCAGGTTTTAGAGGGAGAAGGAATGTGAGGAAAGTCACGGGTCTGGAATTCTATCGGGCCTGTACAGGTCACAGCAGTCATTGAACTGCTCTGGGGCATTGGTTTGGATTTACTCTGTAGAGTGGTGGGAACCTGTGAGCAATGTTGAATCAAGGAAATGTAAAGATTAAAATGCAGCTTTAGGGTGACTCATCTGGCAGCAGTTGAAATGGGTGGAATAAAAAGAGGTTCTCTTTAGTGGAAGACAGTATAACTAAGCAAGTACATTGAACATCACATCTGTTTACCTCCCAATTACTGCTTTAAAGAGTATGTGAAACAGAGGGTGGGAAAGTACATTTGGAGACATGAGTCGGGGTGCTCTGGATTCCCAGCCGCAAGGCCACGAGGGACCTCCTGCAGTAGTGCCTGTAAGATGACTGTCAACAAGGCGAAAATGAAGGCCTGCATGGCCCAGAAGTGCCCACCCTGTACCCTCCTGTGGTGCCCTTCTCTTGACTCTGCTTTTGGTTTTGATTTGGTTCTTGTTCCTGTCTGGCTCTTGACGTCTGTAACTTACTTCCATTCTTGGGCTGAAAATAGCCAATACTGGACACTGATGTGTTTGTCTTCCTGGACTGTCCGTGACTGTTTCCAGGAAACTGTCCCTGTCCCAGCTGGTTGAAGGAACTGCTCCTGAGACCATCCCACTCCTGTTCTGACAGAGCCGTAGTCCCAGCATGTCCGCAGCAGAGAGCTGAGAGACAGGTAAAGGAAGATAGTCTACTCTGAGGTTTGGTTTCTTCAGTGTAAAAGGAAGATAGACTCATTGTTGCTGTTTGGCTGTGAGACTTAAATGAGGTGATGACTGGAAGGGTTGGTTAGTAACCAGTGAATACTGGTTGCTCGCAGTCTTTTCTGCTGTCTTTCTATTCTAGATAAAGAACATAATCTTAGGAGCTAAACATGCTCTCAAATCTCTCTCTGCAGTCCCAGTGGTACTTTTCTCCCTTCTCTTTAGTCAAAGCTTTGATATAAAATGTTTAGCTAACATTAAGTTTGTTCTCCAAGCGGTTCTACCTTGAGGAATGTTCCCCGAGACCCCAAGATGTATAATCTGGTGGCTGCTCATCCTCATGTTTGTGGCTGTTGTATTGATGGATGTTGGCCCGGGAACCCTTGACAAACTTACATGATGCAAGAACAGTGTGAGGTTGGCCCCAACCATTGCGCCATTCTGATCACTCTGTTTTGTAAAAGGCAGGATCCAAAGTTCTGTTTGTCAGAAGAGGCTGAAATATCTTTCTTACCCATTGTGAACCATGCTTGGATTACAGAACTGTCCCTATCATAGGATACTTTGTGATGGTTTGTGACTTTTTCTGCTACAAAAATTTACTGTCCTGTCACCATCTCCCAGTTTGCTCTCCTCCTACCAGTGTGCAAGCTACCCTTTTCCCAGGAAAAGGTGATTTTTTTGTGTGTGGCTTTTTATGTCCCAGGGTGTAGGCAAATCCAACTCAGTGTCTTTCCCTTGCTCCTGTCCCTCTGCATGTGATGGAAAGGGAGAATGTCGGACACATCCCAGTTTTTAGCGCATTGCAGAGAAAACGAAGTCCCATAGTTCCTTTCCAGAAAAGGGTGGTCACAGTAGAGCGCCGAGTGGGACCCAGGTTTCACTGTCCCCATCTATTGGGAGAATTGAGGTCTCAAGCACGTACCCTCCAAAGGTAAACCACTTTGGCTGCAGCGTTGTCTAAGGACTTTTTTTCCTTTAGAGGAGACAGAAAATGGCTTATTTGCCATCCAGTGATCTATTGTTTTGTTTTTCGGCCTTCTGTCCCTCAAGCTGTGTGTTCTTTGTTTTTTTGTTCTAAAAGGTCTGATTTACTGCATTGACTCCCCTCTGCATGGCCTACCCACCCAAAAGACCCCAGTCTCTCATGCCTAGCCTCGCACTAAACCACTTATGTCAACATTTGCCTCATATGTTTGGGTTCTGGTTCTGGTTCTTTTTTGGCTCCTCTTTTCTTTCTATGGTGATGATACTCTTCTCAGGAGTTTTCCTCCAGGTGAGCCCAGGTTATTGTCATAATCAGTGCTGGTCAAGCTCCCTCTCCAGTGCTCAGTTTTATATGATCGTGGGTCTGTGTTCTTAGTTCTGTCCTCCCTGCTGTCCCTACCTCTTGTCTGGTTGCTCCATGACTTAAAACCTTTGAAACACATGAGTGACAGAGAGGCACCTGTGTTTTCATTCAATTGGAACAATGTGCTTTGCTTTTCAGGTACCCAAATAAGCTGCTTCTCTCCAAGTTCTTTCTCCTGGCGTCAGGCTGCCTTTGTGGATTCTTACTGCTGGGCTGCTGTGCAGCAGAAGGGCTCCCTGCAGAGCGATTCTGGAAACCTCCCACTGTGGCTGCATAAGGTACTGAGGGGGGCATTTTTCAGTCTGTCCTGTTTGCTTGTAAATGAAAATGCTGTGCCCATACAGAGTCACGGGTAGGTATGGCCCACCATCATCAGAGATGGGTATGGTTGTGGCTTACATTATAAAACTGTAGCACTTTCAAAGACATCTCGGAGACTACTTTGGCATCTTCGTGTAGCAAATGTGCAAACAGGTGTTCTTCGGATTTCACTTTGTAGCAGAAGCTTCTTGTCATTAATACCCAGCAGTGTCTGGCCCATGGTGGCCTCTCAGGACATTGGAAATGTGTGAATGAGCAGAGCTTAGATCCTTGCAAAGCAGAGCTTCGGCAGAGCAGAGCAATCCAATCCAAGCATAGCTCCTTGGCTGCTACTTTTTCTACTACACACAGGGTCTTTTGGGAAAAAGACCCAACAGAGAGTTCAGTTGCCTCCAGCCAGTGTGTCACTAGAGCATCCAGCAGCCTATGGTGCCTCACTGCAGAGGTGTTCGCTTTAGCCAGATTTTAGAGTAAATTCCTTTGCTTTCAGATGAATCCAGATACTGCAAGGACCAAGAGATACTACATAAGACACATCAGTATGCAGGTTCTGTATCATCTGGAGAAGAGATACAGGTCAGGAACTGTGGTTGGGGCAGTGCTGTGAGGCTCTGGGGGATGCGTAGAGTCTGGAAAGTTAAGCAACTTGAGCTGGTATTATCAAGTATGAAGAAGAACATTCTCTGAGCAAGTAGTGGTATTGATCTTCTCTGTGCCTGTGAAAGAGGACTTTGTTTCAGCCTGTCATTTTTTGCTACTAGTTCTTTTGGTCTTTTGTGTGTGTCATTTTGTATTCTCATCTGTTGAAGAAAGCACAAAATTTTAACTTCTGAAAAACTGAAGATTGAAGTTATTATTGACTCTTTCTTGCTTTAAGCTACTGTTGAACACCCCAGTCAGTATTTCAAGAAAAATTAAAATTCAGAAAACAATTTCAGGAATGTTTTCCTCTGTGTTTGTTTGTTGCATTCAGTTTGGCATAGAGATGCCCTGTTGTGACTCCTGTTTTGATTTGGGCTGGACTTTTCTCTTTGATTTCAGCTTTAGTTTTGGGTGGGTCCTGATCAGATTTGCGTTGTTTTGGAGCTAGGGCAAGGTGGCGTAAGAATCTACACCATGAACAGGCTCGGTTCCAGAAGTTCAATAGCTCTGTTTGTAAATCTCAATCTACGTTGCTGTAACTGAAGTCCATGTGTTGTAATGTGGTTGCAGAAACACAAAAATGTAACCACTCACTTGGCTAGTCAGTGATAAAGCTTTAGACAAATGGTGTAATTGGGATGGTGTAGTGTAAGAGTCTAGAGAGATGAGCTGGGTGTGGTGGCACAGGCCTGTAATCCCAGCACTCAGAAGGTTGAAGCAGGTGGATTGCTGCAAATTCTAGGCCAGCTTGGGCTATATGGTGAGTTCAAAACCAACCTGGATTACATAGCAACACCCTGCCTCAAAACAAAACAAAACAAAACACCAGAGCAAACTGGGGGTTTAACTCAATGGCACAAGATCCTGCCTGGCAGGCGTCAGGTTGTGAGCTCAATCCCCAGTAACAAAACAAAATCCAGAATCTATAGGATTGGTAGCTGTTGTAAAACCTTTGGAGAAAGGAAATGCAAAGGTCCTTATCCAAATGATAAGGGTAGAGGAAGTGTGTTAGATCAGGCCGAGGAGTCAGGACTTCTAGCTATAGCAAGAACTGGGGTCTACAGACTCACTGCCCATTGTGCCCCAGTCCCGGAAGGGAAAATGTGGTGAGAGTGTGAACACCCAGTCTTTTCATTGGGAATTTGAAGGGTCATTCTTTCGGTGTAGGCGAGTTCTCCAGAGTTAAACCAGCCCGCACAGGGACTAGAGTACTGGTGTGACTCATTGAGTACCAGTGAATAAAGCAAATGCGACACTACCTTCCTGCCGGAAACATACCTGCATCCTCTCTGGAAGAAGGTAAGGTCAGTTCGGTGTGGGTGTCCCATCTTTTGGCTTACCTTGGCTATAGTATGTGAAGAACTGTCCTGGGCATGTCAAGCATGCTGGCATACAAGTGTAATCTTAGCACTTGTGAGGATGAGGCAAGAAGATCATCATGAGTTTGAGGCCAGCCTGAACTACATAGCAACACCTTGTCTAAAAAAGAAAGTTACCTTGGACCATATAATATAAAATATAGTTAATGTGTGTGATAACAAAGCTGCCTGTATTTTAATATTATAACTTTAGAAGAATGTTTGATGGATTTGTGATGGGCACAGGAGGCAGTCAGCAGCACTGTGCAGGGCTTTTCCTCCTTTGTTACCTACACAGTTGACATTGCAGCACTATAATTAAGTCATGAAAAATGCCACTGAAAATCACATAATTATACTAAAAGTTTACCATCTTTTGATGCTGCATTTCTCGCTGTCCTGGACTGCTTGTGGGTCAGAGGCTGTAGGTTGAACCTGCTTGGCTTGGAGCTTTGAATGATTCTCTGTTTTTTCATGGATGGTGGTCATCAGTAGTCACTCAGAAATACCAGGAAAAGCAAGGGGGAAAAAAATCAGAAATAGAAACAGACCCATAGAGATCTAGATCAGACACCTATTTGAAAGAATCATTAATCGTGTTCAGAGAATTGTGATAATATGGAGAATTTCACAGATAACTTGAAACTACATAGAATACTGATATATAAAATTTCAGGCCGAAAACACTAACAGAAAGTTTGTTGTAGCTGACATTCAGGGTCCTCCTTATGCTAGACAGCCAAAAGCCACAGATGACAAGTCCCTTCCTGAAAAAGCTAGAGGGAGAACACACATGCCAGAGAATACTGCAAAGGAATAAACAGAAAACTAGATGGAAAAGGATGAGCTATCTATGGCTATCCTAGAAACCAAGGAAAGCATTTCCCTACAGAGCAGTGAACCCTGTCACCTTCTGCCACTGGGATCACAATAGAGCCAAACTGACTTAAGTTTAGTGCAGTCACTAATGATGCTGGCAGAGGAGGGACTGCAGTAGAGAAGCAGGAGCCAGATGGTGGTGGGTGAGCAGTGAATGGGAGGGGAGGAAAAAATGGTGAGAATAGACAGTTTCTTCTTCCCTTACGGAAAAATCTTGCTTTGGTAAATAGAAGAATGAATAACAAGCTGGGTGGTAACCTGAAGGAAGGTTGGAGTCCAGGAAGGCTTTCTAATATGAATCTGTACAAATTCAAACACTGATAGGATAGAGAAGGCGCTAGAGTTGCAGGACCAGAGAAGCACAAAGACACTGCCTGGGGCGGTGCAGCATTTTCCAGGAGAGACTCGTTCTTCTGGGGGGCTGTGAAGCTTGGACTGACTGGAAGCCTGGGAGATCTGAGATCTGAACTTGGTGGTCCAGGTGTTAATCGTTAGGGTACTATATAGGAGGGGATGGAGGCAGAGAGAGAGCCACAAAGGGAAGACTGCAATTAGGGAACTGAAGAGAAGCAGATTTTTTGAGAAAGCAAAGTACAAAGAAGCAACACTTGATGTCTTATTAGATTACACTAAAGATAGTTGAGTGATATCAGATGGTTAAACGTGGGACCAGCACACCTTGTGGCGGGCTAGATTGTCTTGACATTGCAGGTTACGCAGTCACTGTTGTAGCTGCTCAACTCTGTGGAGATCGACAACATATATACGGTAGGCTGTGGCCAGATTTGTCTCAGGGCAGCAGTGTGAGGATCCTCAAGGCAAAGACAGCCATGTGACCACTGGGGCTGAACTAGAGATGTGCAGCCACAACCAAGGATGCTGGAAAAGGTGGGAAGGATCTTCCTCGGAGGCTCTGGAGGGAAGAGGGCCCTGCTGACACCTTGTTTTCCAATTTTCGGCTTCCAGAACCATGAGAAGTTGTTTTCAGTTTTAAGCCATCTAATTTGAGGGGTTTGGTTAGGATGGCCCTGGGAAATGATTAGGGAGAAATCAGGATCAGGCTGATTGGAAATAAACCTGAGCCAGATATTGGTGTTGCTTTCTTAAGCCAGGCTAAAGCCAGTAATCAGAACTTCTTTATTTCTCTATTGATCTTTTTCAAGTTTCTCTCCTGCTCTTGTCTGTTTCTCTCTTGGGCACATGCACAAAGTATTCACAACAAAAGTTTTACCTTTGCCAGGGATTTAGCTCAGTGGAATAAGTGCCTACCTTGCAAGCACAAGGTTGTGAGTTCAGTCCCCGGTTTACCATTTTAACCAGTTTTAGATTTTCAGTTCTGTGCATGTAGTACAGATTGCTGTATAACAAATACCATCACCAGCATCCATCTCCTGAGCTCTTTGATCTTCCCGTACTAAAACCTCGTACCTATAGCTCCCCATTCCTGCAGCTCCTGGCAACCACATTCTTTCTGCCTCTAAGAATCTGCATACTTGAGACAACTCATATAAGTTATACCTTTACCCTTTGTTGTTGTTTCTCTTGTATACTCTCAGTATAATGGTTTCAGTGAGGACCGTCCATTCCTTTCTAAGGCTGAATAATACTCCGTTGTTAGTTTGCACCGTGTTTTGTTTATCCACCATCCATCAAAAGACATTTTGAGTTGTTGTCCATTGTTGGCATCATGAACATCTGTCTGCACCTGTCCTCTAACTTCTGGGTATCTACTTGGGAGTGAAGTTGCTGAATTCTTTTCTAATTTCAAAAGGGTTTTCCCTTTGTGGGAGTCATTTCATCCAGGCTCTTTGTTTCCCAGAGGTGACCCCTAAGGCCAGAGCAATAAATGCTTTTTCTAAGGTTCCACAAGCATGGGACCTCTCCCATCACACTATGGTACTGAGAATTGAACCTAGGGTCTTCACACTAAGCTACAGCCCCAGACAGGTCGTCCATCCCCCCCCCCCCGCATTTGTTTTGAGACAGGATCTTGCTACGTTGCTCAGGCTGAGCTCCAGCTTACAGCCTCCTATAGCTTCCCAGAGTACTGGGATTACACCCAGGTGTGCCATGACCAA